AAAAAAAAAAAAAAAAAAAAAAAAAAAAATATATATATATATATAATTGTATTGTATTAAAGCCCTGTCATTGAAATCATATATATATATATATGATTTAATCATAATTATATATATAATATATATATATAATTGTATATACACACACACACACACACACACAGTAGTCCATCAATACTTCGTGGTTCGATTTACACAGACTTATTCTGTCATGGGTTTTCAATGAAAGATTGTACACGACACACGATTGGCTGATGTATGGAGTGAGCAGCTCGTGTGGCTCACTCAGGTATAAGACAGACCCCCCACCCCCTCCTTTCTCTTTCTTAGGCTGCCCATCACAGCAGAGGCGATGGGGAAAGACAGACCATAACCTCGCCCCCTCCTTTTTCTTTCTCTGCTGTGATAGGCAGCCTCAGAAATAGAAAGGAGGGGGCGGGGTCCATCTTTCTCCATCGCTACTGCTCAGGGAGCAGAAATGAACAGCTCAGATGAACAAATGTAGAATATCTGATAAAATGCTTAGGTGGAAAAATAAAAGTGAATCAGTTTAAAAGAGAGAGAGTGGCTGAGCATGGCTGAGTATAGCTCAGTCTTGTATAGGATAGACTCCCCTTCCCCCTCCTTTCTCTTTCTGAGGCTCTTTCACAGCAGATAAAGTGAAAGGAGGAGGCGGGGGTAGGGTCTGTCTTTCCCCATCGTGTCCCAGATATACACAGCAGGTAGGCGCGCAACAAACAGCCTCGGAAAAAGAAAGGAGGGTGTGGTGGTGCCTGCCTTATAGCAGAGTGAACCACACGGGCGGCAGGGATCGTTTATTTAAAATAATCAAGTGCAAACATTGTTAAAAGCATTGCAAATGTGTGGGAAGGGTTTATAAAGCCTTAAAATGAATATAAATACGAACATAAATAGAACGTCTCTACTTTGAGGATTTTCACCTATTGCGGGATGCTAAGTGAGGGACTACTGTATATATTTAAATATAGACAGTGATATAACTGTGGCAACAGTATAGAACAGTGAACAGTAACAGGCAAGATTATCAGTTACAACACAGCAGAAAACATCCAGTCTCTAAGAAATGTGAGTTGGGTAAGGGCAGAATTATCTTTCAAACGAGAGAAAATGGCATGGAACCAGAGAAGCTGTAAACATCTTTTATCATTAGTTGTCCTCAAATTCCTCATCGGCTGATACTGAGAAGAGCAGAAAATGATGGGTGACAGAAGAATGATCAATTATAAGCTGTGAACTCTCTCTCTGTGGTGCAGTCTGACTGTTGGCTGTAGATAGAGCTGAGTTATGACAACCATACAGTATCCTCTCATGTATAATAATCCATAGAGATGGAGAGCACTTTTACTCATTGAAATCCTCAGTCTCCAGAGAAGTAGTGCAGAAAAACAATAATATAAAACAAAATGTTGTAACCACTCTGACTTCAACTATTAGAGTATTTGGAATTTTGTGTTGAAAGTCAAAACTGCAACAGTTTTCATTTAATCATCTGCCTTATTATTATTATTATTTAAGTGCAATAAACTAAGGAGATACAGATTTAAATAAAAAAGAGGTCATCCATTATTTATTCTAACCTTGGAATAAAATAGGCAACATAATTGAAATGTAACAGAAAATATCACTTTTGGAAATAAAGGCTGTAAATCAATCCATCCATCCATCCATCCATCATAATTTTAACCATTTCTTTCTTTTCAGGTCACGGGGGTCACTGTGCCCATGTCTAGCTTTCACTGTGCGAGAGGCGGGGTTCACCCTGGATAGGACTCCATTCCATCACAGGGCCACATAAAGAAAAACGACTATTCACTCTCTCACTCACATCTAGGGACAATTTAGAGTTACCAATCAGTCTAACATGCATGTTTTTGGTCTGTGGGAGGAAACCGGAGTACCCGGAGAAAACCCACACATGCACGGAGAGAACATGCAAACTCCACCCAGAAAGGCCCCGAGCTGGGATTTGAACCAGCAACCTTCCCACTAAGAGGCAACAGCTCTACCAACTGTACCACCGTGCTACCCACAGGAATTACAAAATGACTTTAAGTTTATGCCTTATAATAATGTGCAATCTGTTAACTAATAATTCATGAAAACAAATTATCCTTTACTAATTTGTTAATAATATTACTAATTATCATCATCATCATTATTATTGTTATTATTATTATTATTAATTCCATCAATGATAAAGTTTTTTTCAGTTTTTTTATTCACTTTTTCTTCAACAAGGCAAACATACCTACCATGATCAGAGCATCAGCTTAACAAGTTTATCAGTTTTATTATATTTATACACATTTTATTTCTTACAGAAAGCAAATAACACTTCACGTGTTCTGATTTATGTACGGTAACTGCTACTAAATGTCTCAGTGGACAGGTTGTGCATTAAGTCACAGTAGGCTGTACACAAATATGTTCATGTTTTCAGGAGTCTATGCAAAGAACCGGTTGGTATAATGAAGCTGAAGAGTGACAGACTACACCAGAAGCCTGATGGGGTGAAAAGTGCAGCTGATCTGACAGCTGGAGCTGGTAGTCAAGTATAGACAGACTTCTTTGTGAGCTTCTTGACAATGTCATCAATCAAATGAAATGTACAAAGACATTAAGTCTGGAAAATGCAGACCACATACATTTCCTGTTTTGAGTGAGTGATAAAGTCCCCAGACTTTCATATAAAAAAAACATAATAGTACGCCATCTATTTCAATTAGCAGATGGGTGAGGGTTAAGAGGCATAATTATCTGTGTGCAGCCAATAACCATTAAAGAGTGGTTGTTTTCTACATATTTATCCAGATTTGTTTCTTTGACAAGTCTACCATATCCACTGAAGTGGAGAGCCAAGGATTCTTTGCTGCCTTTAATCCTAACATGCATTATTGGTTGAAAAAAAACAGACATATTATAGAGGGTTTTTTTATATTTAGTTTTTTTTTCTAAAGCACTTAGGGGTGAATTCTGACAATGTTAGTACAGCCTCTGACCAATTTCAAATATGGAACAAAAAATTATATATATATATATATATATATATATATATATATATATATATATATAAATCATAAACCCCTTATAGCAAGTCTGACATTGCCATGGTTGGTGTTTCCAGCAGCATTATTGAATGTATTGCTGAGTAAAAATTGGTAAACCAGAAATCTTTGCATAGGAAAGAACATAGTAGGACTGTTGGACCCTGGGGCATTTAGAAGCATTTACTATAGTTGCAGGCAGTGACTTAAAATAGGACACCAGAGTAGAAGCTCACTAAAACTTGTGAAAATCTTGTACTTGAATTGTTTTTGTATTGGGGGTGGGGTGTGGTGGTGGGGGGTTGGACCATCTTCAACATTAGGTAGACATTAAATCTATTCTTCAACATGGTTCTAAACAATCTTTAGACTGCTGAAACCTCCAACCATTTTTTGGCATGATTTATAATTTTCATCATTATTAGTCCTGCAGAGTTTCACATTAATTATATATATATATATATATATATTTATATATTATCATTATTATCCAATTTTGTGTGACCAAAAACACGTAAAAGTGATTCTTTTTTTTTGTCTAATTAGTTTAAGAAACTAATTTAAGCTAAATCAAATCTAGTTTTAATTATCGTTCGAATGTGAAATGATTTGTTTTATTCTGTATACGCTTATTTTTTTACACCAAATAACTTAATTTAATTCCTAAATTAATAATAAACTTTGTGCATATTACTATATGTGTTTATTAAAATTTTAAGTGGAACTAAACAATAACTTGGCGTGCTGCAACCGATGTTGTCCAAGTCTCATACAGTCAACAATCAAATCAATGTGTCTCCTTAAACAACGCATCTCAAAAAAGTCATTTTTTGTTGTTTTCCTCACTTCTGTAAGCTTTAAAGACTAAAGAGAGATAAGAATTCTGAGTCCAAACCTAGAAATATTTTTTAAGATAATTGAGAAATAGGGGAACCAAATGTACATCCATTGAGCACCCATAAATCATTTCCATAGCACTGACCTCATTAATCAGGATCCAGTGACAATCAAAGGCAACCAGGTTGGTCTCCACCACCTGAAAACAACAAACACACAAGAGTCACAATAAAAATGAGGAAGAAAATGTAGATATATATTTATGTTTTAAAACGAGGATAAAGCAAAGAATGTTGACACAAAATACAATTATTATTTTTTGAAACCTTGGTAGTATTAGCATCCTAGGTGCTGATATTAAGTTTTAAATGCTTAAGGCTTAACATATGTGAAGCTTGACTTATTTAATATGAAAAAATATTGCATAGGTTTTCAATGCATCAATCAAACAGCTTTTTTTCATACTGCAAATATTGCGACGCTCGCTTATCTAAGATGGAAAACACCCACATAAACACACATACTTACATTTCAACAGTAAAATGTTATTATTTCACACAGATTAATCTCATTTTGGAGGATAGACTGTTTTTTTTTTGTCCTCGGTGCTGCATTTGAGTCACACACATACAGAAAACTCATCGCTATAAAACGGCTTGATTTCCACAAAAGACATGGGAGTAAACTTTGCATGAATTAGTAATGGTACAACTTAATTTAAACACATAACCAACAACTAAACAGTTGTTGAATCCTTCAGCAAGGTCAATTTGCAGTTGTGTTTATGTAATAAAAGGGCAAAAGGAAAATATTTTACGGTACCTATGCCTAGATAAACCTATAGATACACATACCCACCTTTTTTATTACATCATCCATTTTTCACTGCACTGGCATTTTTAATTGTATTTATTTTACCTTGGCCCATTTTTTTTTTAAATATGCAACTTGTGTAAAAGGAGGATTTTACCAAATAATGAACTCAGACAGTGACAGACAATGCTTCTCAATTCATGCAGCTGAAAATCAAACCAGTGAACGTTTCAGGCCTACTTAAGTCCACCTTTGTACTTTTGTCAACTTGTTCTGTAAAAAATGAATTCAAAATAAAGTCAGTGGAGCTGCTACTTTTATAAATAATACCTCTTTCAAACATTGAGGTGTAAATGACAGATGAATCGAAAAAGAAATCACTGGATTAATTTGATCCTTTAAAAAAAAAAAAATCCTCTCAGGGCTAATTATTATCATCTGTAAATCTTCCCAAGGATATTATTTACTTTAGAACAAGAATCATTTATGTCTTGTTATTCTGTATTCAACATCCTTTTGTCAAAATAACGTACCTTTCCATTGATTCATCCCTTATTCTTTATCCATCACTTATTTTGTTTCTCTTATCCTGTCTCACCTTCTCATTCCATCATCTTGCCTTTAATTGCTTACTTCTCATAGTGCTCAGTCTTCTTTTGTGCACCTGCTCCTGCCTCCTCCCCTCTGCTCCCCTTCTAGTGTAAAAATACAGTGTCACTCGTATTTCATTAGGTATAATTGTTTTGGTGACTAGAGCACGGTGTATCATAAAACACATTTTAGCTGTAAACAAAAGGCAACAGCTAGAGAAGGTGGCAGAGCATAGTTAATAGTGGATTAATCTTTCACAGTCTCCATAAAACTTCATCATTATAACATAGTGGGTGGCCATAAAACACTTTGTCTATGAAGAACACGGGTACAACTTTGACAAGGATTCAGCCGAGAAGGAAAATGATGGAGAAGCAAAAATGTATTTTATCTCATATTTCATTTCTATTAGGGTCTCTTTTGCCATGCGTCTTTACTCTCTTCTTTCTCCTTGCATGAGATTGAGGAAATAACAAAATAGAAAACGAGACATAATTGTGATGTTTTGCACAGTTTCTGTTTTGATTTATTAGATAATTATGGCCAAAAGCAGTGAGAATCAAAGAAGGGTGAACAGATGTTTAGCTCTGCATTTTTTTCTTTCATTTTTTTTTTAATTTTATCTAGTATTCTTTGTAATTGTCCCTATCAAAATTTCCAAGATTTTGTGCCCATTGTCATTTTAAACAACTTTAATCATTTAAAAATCCAAAATAAATGTATACATATAAAATACTTCTATTTGGTGCGCTACATGTAGAATGCTTATAGTAAAAAGAGTTTTTAACCTGCACTCCTTGCAGTATCACTACATTTTGTTTTATGCCATATGTCAATAAAATATGTATTTTTATTAACTAAATAATAATTTAATTAATTCATTTTTTTGTATATTAATAGAGAATAAGGCAGGGGGAACATTTTTGGTTTTCCAAATAAAATTACTCAAGTTTATACTTAAAAACAGAGTGGTGCAATGGTTAAAATGAGTTGTTTTAAACAGATCTGTGCATCTATTAGAGTAAAATCATGATAAATAAATAAAATAAATAAATAAATAAATAAATAGCACCATTCCTGTCAACCAGCATATGGCTAACTCTGGCAAAAGTTTCTATTAAATGTATTACACACCAAACTTACCGGTTCAATACTGGTAAGATTTATCTTTTTACATTTCTCAACTTAGCAGCAGACAACAAGAAAATAAAGATAGCATGCGATGAAGACAGCAGTAACTGATGACAGCATATTGGAACTTTGACAAAAATAAATAAATAAATAAAATAAAGAGTCTGTTAAAAAAAAAAAAAAATATATATATATATATATATATATATATATATATATATACATTTTTTTTCCCCTCACCAATACAGATTTATAGTGCAGAGAGGTTAATTTGTGGATGCATCTGGGTGTGTACAATATTGTAAAAATGTAAATACTGATGCTGCTGGTTTGTGTGCAAGCACTACTTGCTACACATGATTCTACTTCCCCCAGTATGACCTCCCACCAGCTTCAATCTGGACAGATGTTTTAAACTAATTAGCGGAGGGGCAGATTTGTAGCACAAGACATGACTCCTCAGGGGATCGAACAGTTCAATACAGTCTTTCCCTCGCTGGTGCATGCTGCACCCCCACCCCCCCCTCCAACACACACAGACACACACCACTCACGCACACACCATTCACAGTCTTCACAGCTTTAGCTCCTGAAACTTCCACAGACTTGTTAACAACTCAATGCCATTACAGCAGGTAGGTAAGAGTCACCTGGGCTTCATTCCTTTGGGATACAAGGGAGATTCTTCTGACATCTCTGAGCAACTTTACAAAAGCTTAATTTCTGAACAAATCTTATTTTCTAAAGTCAGAAGATCAGATAAAAATCAACTCTGCAGACTGGGACAAATCCAATCGCCCAGTGTCAATATACTTAAGCCTTTTCTGAAACTCTGAAAAAGGACAGATTGAACTCAAACAGCGCTGCAGCTTCATGACACTGAACACACCAGTGTTGTATGTGTTTTATCGAGTGACCGTGAGACAGACAAACATCTTTGCTCCAGCAGCAACCTCCATCCACCTGTCTTTTCTAGAGATGCCAAACAAAAGGAATAGTTGTTTCTGACAACAACAACAAAAAAAAGCTGCAGTTAGGTTGACATGTGATGACAAGGGTTTCTATGTCTACAAAAGGCAAAATTTTCATGTTTTTTTTCTCTCCCTTCATTTCGCCATGACTTTTTAGAACGTTGTAATCAAATAAAAGTTTATATATATATATATATATATATATATATATATATATATATATATATATATAACAATATTTAGAAAGTTAGCTTAACAATTCTGTCAGAATTAAGTTAGATTTCCTCAAACTGAGGTGAGTTAATGAGATATTGATGTACAACACTAACTCCCTATAAATACTGTTCATAAATCCATCCACCCATCAATAATCTTTAACCGCTTCTATCTTTCTGGGTGACGGGGGTCAGTGGTGCCCATGTCCAGCTCACTGTGCAAGCCTGTATACCCTGGACTAAAGGTCTCCAGTCCATCACAGGGCCACATAGAGACAAACGAGACAAATAACCATTCACTCTCACTCACACGTAGGGCTAATTAAGAGTTACCAATTAGACTAACATGTTAGTGTTTTGTCTGTGGGAAAGCCAGAGTGCCTGGAGAAAACCCACACATGCACAAAGAGAACCTGCTAAACCACCCAGAAAGGTCCCCTGCTGGGATTTGATACAGCAACTTTTTCGGTGAGAGGTGGCAGCTCTACCAACTGTGCCATCGTGCCGCCCCCGTTCATAAATAAATACTCATTATTTATTTCATGAAACACTTTTATGTAATATGCCAAATATACAAAAATACAGGTATCTGTTATATTTTACAAAAGCACTGCTATCTTGAGAATGGTGTGAAGTCAGAAAAAAGAATGACCTGCAATAATTGTTTCAAAACAGATTTGACAGGCATTTTATCATTCATCATTGACTTTCTTGCATGGAAGATTAAATGTGTCAAAATTAAATACATAAATACATAATGAAGTGAATTGGGGGCTGCGGTAGCTCGGTGATCGGTGCTTTAGTCTTGTAAGTCTGAGGTTGTGTCAGGAAGGGCATCCGGCGTAAAACAAACTAATTTTTCATGTGCGTTTGCTCACTGTGGTGGCTCCTGAAGAAGGGAGCAGACGAAAGAAACTTACCACAAACTAAATAAATGCCACATTAAAAAATGTAATGTATTATTTAATTATTTAATGCACTGATAAATATACTATTATATTATGAAATACACAAATAATTAAATGCCCCATTAAATACATGAGTTCAACTTTTCAACAATGACAATAAATATTTAACCTCCTAGGACCTGGCATCCACATATGCAAGAGTCCGAGTCTTAGGAAGTTAAATGTCATTTTCAAGAAATTTTGTATTTAAAAATACATTCAATTATTTCACTCCTTATTTATTTATTTCATGGCTCCTGTGCAGCAGTGTCATCATGAAATTATAACTATCAACCTCACTCATCAAAATTAGTGTGCGGGACTAGTGTGGCTTACAATTAGACCCTGACATCTGATTGGCTGCTCCACAAGCAAGTTAAGATAAATCGATCACAGATAACGGATTGATCCACAGCCAGAAAATACATTCCAAAATATTAGGCGCGGTAATCGTCTTTGCATAGAATTGGATGAAAATACTTTCATGAAGCAATTCAGATGCTTGGTTGTCCTAGATGAAGGGAACATATC